CACACACACACACACACACACACACACAAACTTTAGAGTTCAATGAACAAACCCACCTCATTCTAAAATATATATTTAGCAACACGAGAATGCTCATGCTATTAAGCCAAAGTCCTTCAGGATTTTGAGTGCTGCTTTAAGGACTTCCTTGTTTCTCAGAGTATAAATAATGGGATTCAGAAGAGGTGTCACCACAACATAAAAGACTGCAATTTGCTTATCATGATCTTGACCTGTGTCTGAATGGGGGATGGTGTACATAGAAATAATGGTACCATAGAACAAGGTAACCACTATAAGGTGGGAGCCACATGTGAAGAAAACTTTACGCCATCCAGTAGTTGATCTCATGTCCAATACAGAATATAGAATTAAACCATAGGAAGACAGCTTGACTAAAAGGGGAACCAGAACAATGAATGCCGATAAACCAAAAACAATGGCTTTAGTTATAGTGGTGTCATCACATGCAAGTTTTAACACAACAGGTAGCTCGCAAATGAAATGGTTAATGTGATTGGGGCCACAGAATGGATGATGAACATATACAACTGAGAAGAGACAGCTTATGGTCCAACAGGATGTGGCAAGCAGTCGCTGGTGCATCTTGTCCATTGAAGAGGCATATATCAGTGGATGGCAGATGGCAATGTAGTGGTCATAAGCCATAACTCCCAGCAACAAACATTCTGTACTACCCATGGTCAGAGCAATATAACTCTGGGTCACACATTGTGCTAAGGAAATGATTCCATTTCCAGTCAAAAGTTGACTTAACATTTGGGGCAAAGTGCTAGTAATGTAGCCAATTTCCATGCCCGTGAGGTACTAAATATATTTAGTATTTGACTGACAGTACTATATTTTTTCTATTTTTGTTTTGAGAATAGACAAATTATTTAAAATATCTCTACCAACTCCCCAAAATGATAATTCTAAAGGTATAGTACTAAGATTATAGCCATTGTCACATTCATTGTTTTGGAAGTACGATCTTAGCTGGAGTAGTAGGAAATTATGTTAATCTTTCGTTTACTTAGAGTAAATGTTGATTGACAAAAATTCAAACTTTGAACAACAATATTGAATGAACAATTCATGTTAAATATTAACTGGTTCTATTTATAGTTACTTCACAAAACATCATGCTTATTTTAACAAAGATCACATTTCTCTCTTTTCATTTGGTTTAATGTGTTTTATTTCCCTTTCTTTTTCTTACTTTCTACAAATATCAAGTTCTTTTTTTTTACCTTGCAAAAATCTGGTGACCACTTGATGATAGCCAAAAGATTCAGAAATTATTACCATACTTGTAGTATAACCATTTTTTTTTGTGGTTATCCAGATTCATGGAGCTCAAAGCTGTTAGCTTTCTTTTCTTAGTTCTCTCCCTGTCTTCGTTATGATGAAGTGTCCTAATGACTCTTTATTTGAATTGTACTAATGGAGAAATGTATCATTTATGGATTACTGCCTTATCGTGGTGAAGGGGCTTGTGTAACTGAATGAAGCTATAAGCTATGCTATGCAGGGCCACCCAAGACAGACAGGTCATAGCAGAGAGTTCTGACAAAATGTGATCCACTGGAGAAGGAAATGGTAAACCACTCCAGTATCTTTGCTATGAAAACCCCATGGACAGTACTAAAAGGCAAAAAGATATGACGCTGGAAGATGAGCCCCTCAGGTCGGAAGGTGTCCAATATGCTACTGGGGAAGAGCAGAGGGCTAGTACTAGTAGCGCGAGAAAGAATGAAGCGACTGGGCCAAAGCCGAAAGGACACTCAGCTGTGGATGTATCTGATGGTGAAAGGAAAGCCGATGCTGTAAAGATTTTTTCTCCATAGGAACCTGGAATGTAAGATCCATGAATCAAGGCAAGCTAGACGTAGTCAAAAAAGAGACGACAAGACTGAACATTGACATCTTAGGAATCAGCGAACTAAAATGGACAGGAATGGGTGAATTTAACTCAGATGACCATCAGGTATACTACTGTGGGCAAGAATCCCTCAGAAGAAATGGAGTAGCCTTCATAGTCAATAAAAGAATAGGAAAAGCAATACTGGGATACAATCCCCAAATGACAGAATGATCTCAATTCGAATCCAAGGCAAACCATTCAATATCACAATAGTCCAAATCTATGTCCCAACCACTGGTGCTGAAGAGGATGAAATTGACCGGTTCTATGAAGCCCTACAGCACCTTATAGAATTAACATCAAAAAATGATGTCCTTATTATCATGGGGGATTGGAATGCTAAGGTAGGAAGCCAAAAGTTAACTGGAATAACAGGCAAGTTAGAATTTTGAAGCAGGGCACAGGCTGAAGCAGGGCACAGGCTGAAGCAGGGCACAGGCTGATAGAATTTTGTCAAGAGAATACGATGGTCATAACAAACACTCTTTACCAACAACCCAAGAGACGGCTCTACGCATGGACATCACCAGACAGTCAACATAGAAATCAGATTGACTATGTGCTCTGCAGCCAAAGATGGAGAAGCTCTATACAGTCAGTAAACACAAGACAAGGAGCAGACTGTGGCTCAAATCATGAGCTTCTTGTTGCAAAATTTAGGCTTAAATTGAAAAAAGTAGGGAAAAGCGCTAGGCCACTCAGTTATGAACTAAATCATATTCCTGATGAATATACAGTAGAGGTGACAAATAGATTTAAGGAATTAGATCTGATAGACAGAGTGCCTGAAGAACTATGGATGGAAGTTTGCAGCATTGTACAAGAGGTAGCAACTAAAACCATCCCAAAGAAAAAGAAATGCAAGAAAGCAAAATGGCTGTCTCAGGGATTTTTGCAAATAGCTGAGGAAAGAAGGGAAACGAAAGGCAAAGGAGAAAGAGAAAGATACACCCAATTGAATTCAGAATTCCAGAGAATAGCTAGAAGAGATAAGAATGCCTTCTTAAATGAACAGTGCAAAGAAATAGAAGAAAACAACAGAATAGGGAGGACCAGAGATCTCTTCAAGAAAATTGGAGATATGAAGGGAACGTTTCATGCAAAGATGGGCATGATAAAGGAACAAAATGGCAGAGACCTAACAGAGGCAGAAGAGATTAAGAAGAGATGGCAAAACTACACAGAAGAAATATACAAGAATGAGCTTAACATCCCAGATAACCACAATGAGATGGTCATTGACCTCGAACCAGACATCCTAGAATGTGAAGTGAAATGGGCCTTAGAAAATCTGAGCAACAACAAAGTAGTGGAGGTGACAGTATTCCAGCTGAGCTATTCAAAATCTTAAAAGACGATGCAGTAAAAGTGCTACACTCAATTTGCCAGCAAATTTGGAAAACTCAGCAGTGGCAACAGGATTGGAAAAGGTCAGTTTACATTCCAATTCCAAAGAAAGGTAATGCCAAAGAATGTTCAAACTATCGCACCATTGCACTCATTTCACATGCTAGTAAAGTTATGCTTAAAATCCTACAAGCTAGACTCCAGCAGTATGTGGATCGAGAACTACCAGAAGTACAGGCAGGATTTCGAAGAGGCAGAGGCACTAGAGATCAAATTGCCAACATACGCTGGATCATGGAGAAAGCTAGGGAGTTCCAGAAAAACATCTACTTCTGCTTCATTGACTATGCTAAAGCCTTTGATTGTGTGGATCACAACAAATTGTGGCAAGTTCTTAAAGAGATGGAAATACCAGACCATCTTATTTGTCTCTTGAGAAACCTATATGCGGGTCAAGAAGCAACAGTGAGAACTGGACACGGAACCACTAATTGGGTCAAAATTGGAAAAGGAGTCCGGCAAGGCTGTATACTGTTGCCCTGCCTATTTAACTTATATGCAGAGCACATCATGAGAAAGGCAGGGCTAGATGAAACAAAAGTTGGAATTAAGATTGTCGGGAGAAATATCAACAACATAAGATATGCAGATGATACCACTCTAATGGCAGAAAGTGAAGAGGAACTAAAGAGCCTCTTGATGCGGGTGAAGAAGGAGAGTGCAAACGTAGGCTTGAAACTCAACATTAAGAAAACCAAAATCATGGCACCCAGCCCTCTCAATTCCTGGCAAATAGATGGGGAAGAAATGGAGGTAGTGACAGATTTTATTTTTCTGTGCTCCAAGGTCACCTCAGATGGGGACTGCAGCCAAGAAATTAAAAGACTCCTGGGGAGGAAAGCTATGGAAAATCTAGACAGCATACTAAAAAGCAGAGACATCACCCTGCCAACAAAAGTGCGTATAGTCCAGGCCATGGTTTTCCCAGTTGCAATGTATGGCTGTGAAAGGTGGACCATAAGGAAGGCTGAGCGCCAAAGAATTGAAGCCTTTGAACTATGGTGCTGGAGAAGACTCCTGCGTGTCCCTTGGACTGCAAGGCATTCAAACCGGTCAGTCCTAGAAGAGATCAACCCCAACTGCTCTTTAGAAGGCCAGATCCTGAAGTTGAAACTCAAATACTTTGGCCAAATAATGAGAAGGAAGGAGTCACTGGAGAAGGGCCTAATGCTGGGAAAGATTGAGGGCAATAGAAGAAGGGGACAACAGAGAATGAGATGGCTGGATGGAGTCACTGAAGCAGTAGGAGTGAACGTAAATGGACTCCAGAAGATGGTAGAGGACAGGAAGACCTGGAGGAACGTTGTCCATGGGGTCGCGATGGGTCAGACACGACTTTGCAATTAACAACAACAACAATGGAGAAATGTATCATTTCACCAAGAACCAGTTAGGTGTATTGGTTAAGGCATCAGGCTAGAAACTGGGAGACTGTGAGTTCTAGTTCAGCCTTCAGCATGAAGCCAGCTGGATGACTTGGAGCAGTTACTCTCTCTCAGTCCTAGGAAAAAGGCAATGACAATCATCGATGAAAATTATTGCTAGGAAAACTGCATGGACTTGTTCATGTAGTCACTGGGAATCAAGACTTACTCAAAAGCACAAAAACAATCTTGTCACATCTCTTTGTCAGTAGACCAAGTGAAGGAAAAGAGTTTACAAGAAATATTAGAATTCTACTTTATTGATACAGGATGTTTATACCTTGAAAACATGACAGCATTTCTCTTTTCTTTCTCTTATACCAAAAAGTATTATTATGGACCACTCTTGAGTTCCTTTCCTCACATATTCCTGTTTTCCTGGGATCTGTTCATGTTTTGCTGATAAGTGCCACATATTTTCTTCAAGGTCATTTCTACAGTCCAGCCTGCTTTTTCACCTTATCATCTCTAAAAAAGATTGGGAATGTTAAAATAGGGTGGTATTATTTTTATAGTCAGCCTCCCTCTGCTTCAAGAAAACATCACAAAATATCAGTCCAGCAAGATGTCAGTGGTCATGTTCATTGTTCAAAGCCCCATCTTCTCACCATCTTGATCACTGCTGAATGAATCTCCTTGTTGCGCAAAGTATAAATGACAGGGTTAAGCAAGGAAGTAACTACTAGGTAACAGACAGACATTTCCTTATTGTGAGAAGGACCTGAGTCTGGGTGGGGGATAATGTACATAGAAATAATGGTGCCATAGAACAAGGTGACTACAGTGAGGTGGGATCCACAAGTGGAGAAGGCCTTACTCCTTCCTGCACTTGACCTCATGTGTAATATAGAATGCAGAATGAATCCATAGGAAGACAAGATGATTGAAAGGGGAATGAAGACCATGAATGCTGATAGACCAGAGACAATTACTTTAGTCATTTTTATGTCACCACAAGCAAGTTTCAGCACAATAGGCAACTCACACATGAAGTGATTAATGAGATTAGAACCACAGAAGGAATGACGAAAAGTACTGACAACATAAACCATGGAAAATGCAAAGCCAATTATCCAACATGTGCTGACAAGCAGGACCTGGTGGAACTTGCTCATGGCTGTAGCATATAACAAGGGAGAGCAGATGGCCAAGTAACGGTCATAGGCCATGACACCTAATAGCAAGCTTTCAGCACTGCCTATGTTCAATGCAATATAACCTTGCAGCATGCAACGTGTTAAGGAGAGAACGCCATTCCCAGTGACCAGATGAGCCAACATCTGAGGCAGCGTGCTGGTGACCAATCCAATTTCCATTGCAGCAAGATTGCTGAGAAAATAATACATGGGAGTATGTAGCTGGGAATCAGCCCACACCAATGTGATGATCAGCAGGTTGCCAAAAAGGATAAGCAAGTAGATGACAAGGAGCACCCCAAAGAGCAGAAGCTGGGTCCCTCGATGACTTGTGAGTCCCACCAACATGAATTCTTTAACAGAGGTGAAGTTCTCAGCTCCCATCTGGCTTACTACCTGTAGGATAAAAGAAGTTGTTGAAAGGTAGTGAGATTCTTTTGAAACGAGACAATGCTTTTTAAAAAATAGGATACCCATAGAAGACTATTGCAGGCAGTAACCTAGGCTTAAATAGTCATGACAATTTGTTGCAGACCTTTAAGGGTTCCTTTAATCAGGAATCTTTCTGGGAAACAAGTTCTTTTAACAAAATTATATGTAGAGAACATTTGGAAATAATATATTAGCTACTAGATGAGATTTAATACAAAAATTAAAGAAATGATGCTTCATGTAAAATCACTATGCCAAAGGAATTTCTAAAGCATTTTTCATGAGATTATGTATTTATGTATTTATATCCTGCCTTTATTTTATTTTTATTTTTTTTACAAATAACACAAGCCAACAAACATATCAAATACTACTTCTTTCTGTTTTCCCCACAACGCCAATCCTGTGAGGTGAGTTCGGCTGAGAGAAAGGGACTGGTCCAAAGTCACCCAGCTGGCTTTTATGCCTAAAGTGGGACTAAAATTTGCAGAAACTAGAAATTGCAATGATTAAACCTAGGTGGCTGAGAATGGAGAAATATTTCATACTATTTCTTGCTACAGGGAGCTTTTCTTGCATCCTACTCACATGCCTGTTGTCTGTTTGGTGCCCTTTACTTAAAGAACCGTAAAAGTTGTGTCATTTGATTTGATCAGTGAGAACAGTCAATCAGTGCAACTGCCTAGCTTGAGAAATTGTGGGTCCTCCATCACTGGAGGCTTTTAAGAAGAGATTGGACAGCCATTTGTCTCAAATGGTATAGGGTCACCTGCTTGAGCAGGACGTTGGACCAGAAGATCTCCAAGATCCCAACTCTGTTGTTCTATATTGCGTAAAAGCATCATCTTCACTCAACCCGTCCAGTTACATTGGCAAATTTAAACCTTACAGATCACTTCAAACACTGCAGGATGAGAAGAAATCCTGGGCGTCTCATCCTTCAACTATAAAAGCCAGAAGCTTGAATTTCTGGGCCTCCACTGCAGAGATATCAGTAACCATGCAAAAATTGAAACATTATGACTGGGTTATACAGTGGGGGTGTTGTACTTTGCTGGAGATGCAAACAGAATAAAACCTGAACTATCTTGCTAGGACAAGCCCCAGTAGGAGTCTTGCATCAAAACACAAGACCACAAATTTGGTAGACCACAAATCTTATCCCACTTAGCTTAGTGGAATGGCCCCTTCTTACTAAGTTTGCCATACTATGCCAAGATTGCATGCATTAACCACCATTGTGAACAGGTAAGCATATAGCTGACTACAGCATCAGTCGGCTATACTCAGCTATAGCAGCAGTCATTCAGGCTTTTGACCACAATGCTTAGTTCTTTCAGAGGTACTGATGAATTTCCACCTAATTAAAAACAATATCTTCCCCCATGTAAGCCTTTCTGACAAAATCAGATTCTATTCTCTATCAACCAACTTCCAAATGGCAAAATGTCTTACCTTTCTGTACCTCTAAAAGATCCCACAGCCATCAAGTAGGATCACATCACACTACCTGCTTGTGTTGAGGCAAAACAGTGAGAAGGAACTGGAAATTCAGTGAGTTGTCAGAGGAAGATTCTTAGTTGTTCTATAATATGTTCTTCTGATATTTGAAAAGGATTCCTTGTGCCCATTAACCTAATGACTACCAACTTATGAAAACAGAGACTTAGCTGAATAAAGCATAGTTGTAGGAAAATCCTGCTTCACATATTACAAGCCATAGAGATACATACATACTTAAAGAACTTGAGAAATTGTATGTATTAATGTTATCCTATTCTTCACTTTCCTGTGGCAAATTACTTTGGACTCCCTAATTTCAGTGTCATCGTTCAAAGGTGGCTGGCTTATAAATGAGAAGACATGATTTTGTGAGTAAGTTTTTGAAATTGGAAGAGGAATTGCCTTACGTATCATGCAAAGTGCCATCCAGGTTAATGATCTCCACAAGATCTCAGGTAGACATTGTTTGTTCATGGAATTTACTAAAGGCCTTTTAGTTGATAATACCAACTGTTCTTTTTGGTGCGAAGTATATTTTCAGTAAATCTAAGTTATACTGTCTTGATCCTCCTAGCAGCTACCTGTGGTTAGATCCAAAGCTACTTATCCTTGCTTTTTCTTCTCCCAAATATTGACAGTTGCTGCTTTGCTGTGTGTAGAAGCACTAAAGATTGCAAAAGATAATAAAAATAATATGAATCTACTCCATGGAGATTATTCCAGTTCCACTGGAACGTTACTGTATTTCATTATAATTCATTTTTATCTCAATCTCTTGAGAACTGAAGTATTTGATTAACAAACTCAAATAAGATGGGTTCTCTGAATAATACAGGAAGTCCTTCCCTTTCAACAGTTGCTTAGCAACCTTTTCAAATTTATGACAGACCTCCCCATAGCTACTTATTACTTGAATTCAAAGTTCTGACGGTTGCCCCCCTACCATAGTCATGTGATCACATTTTGGGCACTGAGCAACCGTCCCACATTTACAACTATTTGCAGCATCCCACAATCACATGACTACAATTTATGGGTTTTTTGCTGGTGTTTACTTCCAGTTTTTGGCAAAAAACACTCATTGAGGATGATGGATTTGCCAAAGAACCTCAGTGTTGACTTCATGACAATGGCAAATGGCTAATAGTGAACCATTGGCTCATTTAATGACTGCAGTGATCATTTAATGACTGTGGCATTCACTTAACAACTGCCACAAAAATGGTCATAAAATTGTGTGTGGTCACATGGTTACCCACTTAATGACCGGCATGGTTGTAATTTCAAAAATTACCTATAAAGACCATCCCATGGTGTATTTTGAGCCCGCTTAATAAATTGACTGAATATATTTTAGTACAAATAGCATTAGCACTTAGACTTATATACTGCTTCATAGTGCTTTACAGCCCTCTCTGAGTGGTTTACAGAGTCAGTATATTTCCCCCAACAATCTGGAGAAGGATGAAAAGCTCAACCTTTTTTAAAAAAAAAAAAATCTAGCTCTTTCTGTGGTGATGGTACATTATGTCACAAGTAGGATCATAGGAGAAATTTTCTGGAATTTTTTTCCAAAACTAAGTGTACTGAATAATTTTGGGTTTGTGTTTTCTTCACTGTATGTATCTGATGAATAGAGAAAACTGCAGGAGGATCTGCCTGATCTGCCTGTCACAAAGAAAAAGGGAAAAAAGGAATTTTCCTCAGAAGTGAGATTCATAGAATATGACATTTTCTTCCATTATATTTCCTCCTCAGTATTCCCAATATTTTCCAGCATATCTAAAATCACTAATAATTCATCTTGTTATAATGCAGTGGTTCTCAACCTTTTTAATGCCACGACCCCCAACCGGTCGTAAGTCGAGGACTACTCAACTGGTGCAGCACCGTTTGCAGAATGGGATTTTTGGCGGGCTCAGCAGGGCAGAGACAGCCTGGACAATTCCTATTGGCTTTTGAAAGCCAATAGAATTGGACTCTATTCAAGAGAGTCTATTCTATTGGCTTTCAAAAGCCAATAGAACAGTGGTTCTCAACCTATGGGTCGGGACCCCATTTGGGGTCGAACGACCATTTCACGGGGGTCGCCAAACAAGGCTGTCTGCCATTTTTCCCCCTTTTCTTTGGCCATGCCCCTGGGACCCAGTGATGTATAAGTGGTTGGGGGTCACCACAACATGGGGAACTCTATTATGGGGTCGCGGCATTAGAAAGGTTGAGAACCACTGCAATAGAATAAAAGGGAGTAGCACAGCTAAGGAAAAGGGAGAAAAAATGGCAGACTGTGTTGTTTGGCGACCCCCGTGAAATGGTCGTTCGACCCCAAATGGGCCCGACCCACAGGTTGAGAACCACTGTTATAATGGGATTATACACAGTTACAATAGGATTATACACTGCAATACAACACACATAATCTCTCTCTCTCTCTCTCTCTCTCTCTCTCTCTCTCTCTCTCTCTCTCTCTCTCTCTCTCTCTCTCTCTCTCTCACACACACACACACACACACACACACACACACACACACACCTTAGAGTTCAATGAACAAACCCACCTCATTCTAAAATATATGTTTAGCAACATGAGAATTCTCATGCTATTAAGCCAAAGTCCTTCAGGATTTTGAGTGCTGCTTTATGGACTTCCTTGTTTCTCAGAGTATAAATAATGGGATTCAGAAGAGGTGTCACCACAACATAAAAGACTGCAATTTGCTTATCATGATCTTGAGCTGTGTCTGAATGGGGGATGATGTACATAGAAATAACGGTACCATAGAACAAGGTAACCACCATAAGGTGGGAGCCACATGTGAAGAAAACTTTACGCCATCCAGTAGTTGACCTCATGTCCAATACAGAATATAGAATTAAACTATAGGAAGACAGGATGACTAAAAGGGGAACCAGAACAATGAATGCCGATAAACCAAAAACAACGGCTTTAGTTATAGTGGTGTCATCACATGCAAGTTTTAACACAACAGGCAGCTCGCAAATGAAATGATTAATGTGATTGGGGCCACAGAATGGATGATGAAAGATGAAAGCAACATATACAACTGAGAAGAGACAGCCTATGGTCCAACAGGATGTGGCAAGCAGTCGCTCATGCATCCTATCCATGGAAGAGGCATATATCAGTGGATGGCAGATGGCAATGTAGCGGTCATAAGCCATAACTCCCAGCAACAAACATTCTGTACTACCCATGGTCAGAGCAATATAACTCTGCGTCACACATCGTGCTAAGGAAATGACACCATTTCCAGTCAAAAGTTGACTTAACATTTGGGGCAAAGTGCTAGTAATGTAGCCAATTTCCATGCCCGCAAGGTTGCTGAGAAAAAAGTACATGGGAGTGTGGAGTCGGAAATCAACCTGCACCAGGATGATGATCAGCAGGTTCCCAAAAATTGTAAGCAAATAGATGATGAGGATGACCCCAAAGAGAAAAAGCTGTGTTCTTCGGTGGCTGGTGAGTCCCAATAAGATGAACTCCTTGATGGAGGTGAAGTTCTCATTCATCACCTTGGCATCCTGCCTGAAATGAAAGGAAATTAGTGACAGATATTGAAATTTCCTGGAAAGAAGACAGAAAGAAAAAAAGAAAGAGAGAAAGAGAGAGAGAGAGAGAGAGAGAGAGAGAGAGAGAGAGGGAGGGAGGGAGGGAGAGAGAGGGAGAGAAGGAGGGAGGGGGAGGAGGGACGGAGGGACGGAGGGAGAAAGAAAGAAAGAAAGAAAGAAAGAAAGAAAGAAAGAAAGAAAGAAAGAAAGAAAGAAAGAAAAAGTTTCAGAGTACATCCTCAAGAAAGTCATAATCATTACAAACTAATCACTACAAGCCGCAATATATCAGATGTCATCTGAGATTTTTTAATATGTTGTTACTTGCAAATATTAAAAACAGCATATTGAATATTTTCTATTTTTTAGTTTTTAAAATTAGTTAGAAGACCATGGACACCACTAGGCATATGATTCAAGAATTTTGAGCTACAATTTTTACACATTTATAGCTTTCTGGAAAAGTGTTGCATTTTTTTATTGAGGGATTGTTCCAATGATTGGAACAAATGGTAATATTCATCAATGGTCTGATAATTCAGTGAATGTTGAATTAAATGCCCTCACCTTGCAGTTATAAATGCAATTCAAATGTATTCCAAATTCAGTCCATCCTTTTGTAATAGTTTGGACTGAAATGATATAATTGTTAAATTAACTTTAAACTGATGATTGTATGTTAAAGACATTTAAGTTATTTTTTTGCCCAAGCTCTAAAATCTGGATTTTATACAAACATCAGGGACTTTTTGGCATGGACAATGGCCCAAAGAAACACCAGTGTTGAAAGAGGGACTTAATATCTGATCTCTACTAATGGATTATTGATTTGGGATTTTCTTTTTAAGCCTTTGAACTTTTTTTTGGGACATGGCAAGAGTTTTGAACAACATGATCAAATTTTGGGAAGTTTTTTTGCCTTATCTTTCTGATATGAATATTGATATTATACTAGGTGACTAAAATTGTTTCATAAAAGTGTTTTGCTGTTAATTTGTTGAATTAAAATGTTCTAAAAAGCCAACTGACCAATACACAGAATGGTACTTTGATATGGTATTTTTAAAGAAGAGATTGGACAACCATTTGTCTGAAATGGTATAGGTCTTCCTGTTTGAGCAGGGGTTGGACTAGAAGACCACCAAGGTCCCTTTCAGTTCTGTAATTCTGTTATTCTGATAGGATTCCATAAGATGATTTAGATTCCTTTGACCTGTGGTGGTGATGCTGATTCCCATGGTTAAAGCAAACACCTAGCATATTTCTGAAAGGACTTCATCCTCAGGTTCCCTACTGTTCACTTACTGTCACTGTCCAAGTATGAGAAATGGTGGGAAAGTGAAGGATAAAGTTTTGATGGTTTATCAAAAGAGATATCTCAATCTAGCTGCTGAAAGATGTGGGGAATGATGCTTCAAAGAAAGCACCCCTTCAAGTGCTCACTCTACATGAATCTGAGAAATTGCTCTTAACAATAGTCAAGTGTCTATGACTTTAAGAAATACAATCCTTAAAATCCATGTTCTGGGGGTTGGGAGGAAGTGGCTTGCGTATCTAAGTGTGTGGTACAACCTACACAGTGGTGCTGTACTTGTTCTTCTTGGTTTTTGATCATTCAGTTATGGATTGTGTTATATTCTATATGTTTTATTTTGTATGATGTTCTTATATTATTTTTCATTGCTGTAAACCACCCAGAGTTATGTATTTGAATAAATAAACAAATGAACAAAAAAACAAGCAGGCAAGCAACTCTTCAGGTTTTTGCAAATGATGATGATGATGATGATAATAATAATAATAATAATAATAATAATAATAATAATAATAATAATAATAATAATAAAGTTGGAAGGGACCTTGGAGGTCATCTAGTCCAACCCCCTGATCAGGCAGGAAACCCTATACATTTTGGACAAATGGCTGTCCAGTCTCTTCTTAAAAACTCCCAGTGTTGGAGCATTCATCACTTCTGGAGGTAGGTTGTTCCACTGGTTAACTGTTCTAACTGTCAGAAAATTTCTCCTTAGTTCTAGGTTGCTTCTCTCCTTGATTAGTTTCCATCCTTTTCTTCTTGTCCTGCCTTCAGGCGCTTTGGAGAATAGCTTGACTCCCTCTTCTTTGTGGCAGTCCCTGAGATATTGGAACTCTGCTATCACATCCCCCCTTGTCCTTCTCTTCATTAAACTAGACATACCCAATTCCAGCAACAGTTCCTTATATGCTTTAGTCTCCTGTCCCCTAATCATCTTTGTTGCTCTTCTCTGTACTCTTTCTAGAGTCTCAACATCTTACATGGGATAAGGTTGGTTGGTCTTCATAGATGCTACTGAAGAGGGCAAAGAGATGGGTATTAATTTGCAACTGTTCTCAACATTCTCCATGGCACTCACCAAGACAGATGATGTTCTAAATCGGTACTGCATTTAGAAGAGCAGTAAAGCAGAGGCAAAAAAAAAACAACCATGGTTCCTTTGCCTCACTCTCCAAAGTGCCATCCTTTTTGTAGATTAGCTTCTGGAGGTTGCTTTTATCCAATCTTCTTCAAGTAATTGTTAGATGGTTGGCACAGCCTCATTGGGAGATTTTTTCATTTATTTATCTTTATTCTGCTTAACTAATTAATGATATGGAATTATAAATGCTCACTGTACAACCATTTTGATGATATAATGGGAGTTAAAAATTAATCAGCACAATAAATCAATTTATTAAAAAAAGGAAAAGGAAAGGGGAGCCTGGAAAATTATTCTGAAAACAGAAGAACTTCAAAAAATATTGATCGAAGTACTTGAAATCTTCCCTGACCCTCTGTAAAAAAACAAACAAACAAACAAACAGAAACAACAAATTTGAACTCTGAGAAGTAATGCTTGTTAACAACCCATAGCTGCAAATTGGATTTAGATTTTATTTCCAGGATTATATGAACTGAGTGCCTGAAAAATCCTTAAAATTTGATATTACCTTTCCTGCCATTTTTGTGCAGGAGCTGAAGGTGTCGAAGAATTAATAGCTGTTGACTGGAGAAGAATTAGCACTCATTCAGTATTTCATGATTTATAACAACCTTAACTATAACTTTAGAATAATTCCACAGATAGGTTAACTATTTTAGGTTGGACCCCAAAATGAAAGAAACTAGAAGGTAAAATTACCCAAACCTTATACTCAAATATAACCTAAAGATTGCTTGAATATGAATTCCAGAGATATTACCAGTGCCAAGAGAAACTAAGAAAATAGCAATCATTTTAGATACATCCTGAAATAAAAAAGGAAAAAGCAATTTTCATGCTTTGCCTTAGGAAATGTCTCTGTTTGCATTTATCACCACCAAGAAATGCTTAAGACAGAGTATGCCAGTATTAAAGTTCTGTTAAGGCAACTCTATCAAGTCAAAATATTTCATCCTTTCAAAATTCTTTTCCCCATAAATAAATTCAAAATGAGCCATTGGAATCTTAGCTTTCTGAATGACTAAGATCTTTCACACTTAACAAGCAGTATCTCTTCGTGATTCCAGTTATAACAATCAACAACTTAGTACATAATGTTGAGAAACAATTTGAAATATTAGTGGAATATTTTCAAAGAACTATAATAGTGTAATATACTTGAAGAATGTAGATAAAAAGACCAGGAACCTACCATGCCATGTCCTTGTAATAATTTGCAGGAAGATGTTTGTGGCAGAAGCTTTTCGGATTGATGGATGTGATGAAATTCAAAGAGATTTCAGATTAAATTCTTCTTGGTGTTGATTCCACTGGATGTGATGGCTTTTGTGTGTAATCTTTTAAAGGGGTTCTTTAAAATGCTTTTCTACCAATACTAAGTTTCATCTTTTCCATCACCCTGACTCCTGCTCAACCAACTATGTTTTCCAGCTTCCTAAGGTCAGTTCATCTTTGAAAATGTTCCAGGACTTAAAATACTGTATCACTCTGGCCTCTTCTCTCATTGTCTATGAGAGATGTCAAGATTTCATGATATTATTTCCAAGGAGATTACTGCAGTCCCTTGTGATTATTTCTAATAAATTGATAAAGATATCTAGCTCTCTGTTTTTAATCTCATGGGTACTTTTACATATTCACTAAAAAAAATAACTTTCACAAAGGTTAAAAGAAAGAAGAGGCAATCTTTTGTGTTTATTATTTCTTTTTTCAAATGTATATGGAACATTAATTGAAAGGCACACCGATATTTGAACATTGAACAAAGAGGAAGAGACATTAGTCAAACAAAATCCAAGAAGACGGCATTGGCAAATCATTTCTGAATTGAAGCTGAAAATGAAATGAACTATCCCCAGGAAATGAATTCAGTTCAACATATGAATATCTATGAGGGAAAGAGGGAATGGGAGAGAAGGAAAGGGAGAGGGGGAGAGAGGGAGAGAGAGTTCTGTAAGCCTTTGTAAACAATTTGTTATGGAATGGACTTTCAACTAAAGGCAGATATAGCCTTTCATCTCAACTCTCCTGCATATTGTAAGGTATCATCCCAAAGATGCTTTTTCACTAGACAACTGGACTTTCTTGTTCTTCTTTGAAGATATTTCACTTCTCATCCAAGAACTGAAGAAGTTTCTTGGATAAGAAACAAAACATCTTCAAAGAAAAACAAGAAAGTCCAGTTGCTTCGTGAAAAAGCATCTTTGGGATAACTATGACCTGGATGACTGAGAATCTCCATAAACATTTAAGGTATCATTCTTATAGGATGAGCCACTGCTGGGCAAAAGACTAGGTATCCATGTGCCTTTCTAATTTTGAACTATTTTTGCCATTAACCATAATCAAAATGTATATAAAATGTGACTGATACTAAACCAGGATGTTAGGGCTGTTAAATATTTCAGTGTTATTTTTTTACAAAGAAACTTAAAAACTTTAATTGGACTATTAATGGCCATAACAGAGGAAGATAAAATGTTTAAATATCTTGAGGTGCTATTTCAAGCTAATGCTAATACTGATATATATTTTTTGCAAGTCCAAATAATTACAGTGTTATTGCACACCAGGAAATAGGTACAATGGTGCTAACAGTTACTGAATTCTTTTGAATTTTCAACATTTTTGCCTAAACATGATCTAAAACGTGATCTTTTCGCCACACAAATCCTAAAACTAGATAAAGAGAACCCAGTTTGACAAAAAAGACAAAAACATTATACTTGTTCATTTATTCATTGCAGAAAATGATCCAAAGATACATACCGTAAATGCCGGCGTATAAGACGACTTCCGCCAGCGCTGAAATCGGCGCCAAAGACGGGGGTCGTCTTATACGCCGAGTCGTCTTATACGCCGGAAATACTGGTAGTTTCCGGCGTATAAGACGACATTCTAGGAATGCGGCCCGGCTATAAAGACGGGGGTCGTCTTATACGCCGGGTCGCCTAATACGGCGGCATATACGGTATTTCTGTTGAGCACAAGTATATGAATCTTTGCTTTCAATATTTAACTGATGCATCCCAAGTAAACAGAGAGTTAAAATAAAAACAAATCCTCTTCAATATGGATTGGTGTGATTTCCTTCTCCATGTCATATTGTTACTGGAAAAACATTGGACAATCTCTGGAAGGAGAGAAGAATTGTCCTTCCAAAGATTCCCACTCACAATTGTGAACTGTAAAAATAAATATGGTCCTAAAACTTATGAAGCCAGTTTGAGCCAAGGGGCCAGTCTGATTATTGGCCCAAGATATTTTTATTGTTACTTCTTCAAAATGTTAAGGAGAGAGCCAGCAACACCTTCAACAGGACTGTCCAATGTAGTTTTCTCCATTCGTGTTATTTTATGTATTCACCAGCTATGATAGTGGAAAGCTTGTTAGAAGTTCATTATTTCCCCCTCTAATATCTATGGAGGCTATCGAAGTGCAGACAGCTGTTCTTGAATAAACTTATATTCATTTCTCCACATTCCCATCCTGCCTTCCTTCTCTGAAAATAAATTTGTCAAGTTGAGGAGGAGTTGATTTTTGCAATATATGAAAGACTGACAGAGAATAAGGATTATAGCATTCTGGAACATTTTTATAGGAAGGTATTCAATGGTGAACTCTAATCTACATTGTCTACACTGCAACTACAAATTTATAAATTAATTCAAATACTATAACATATCTCTAAAGTCTCAGTGAAATAATTTGAAAGCCTACTAAGTAATAACTTATCCAAGGAGCTCACCTTCAGTTTGGAGAATGAGGTAGGTATAAAAATTGATTTCAAGTGTATGCCCACATCATATTATAATATATTCAATGTGTAGTTTTCAAGAGAGATAGGTGAACAGATATTTACAGTATTTTAATTTATTATTTTTACTACAAAAGTCATGTGAAAAGGATGAGAGATAGTTCATCTATAGAATTCTTGGCTTGACTTCATAGTTAGACAAATTCACATTAAAAGCATTCTGGCGTTATAATGATCATCTATAATGATAACATTGTTAATGTTGTTGTTCAGTTGCTCAGTTGTTTCCAACTCTTCACAATCCCAGGTCCCCCTGTCCTCTGCTGTCTCTCAGAGTTTACCAAAATTCATGTTCATTAAATCAATGGCACTGTCAAACCATTTCATTCTTTGCCGTCTCCTTCTCCTTTTGCTTTCAATCTTTCCAAACATCAGTTTCTTTTCCCATGAGTATGCTCTTCTTATTTGGTGGCCAAATATTTGAGCTTCAACTTCAACTGTCAGGGTTGGTTTCCTTTAGGATTGATTGATTTGATCTCCTTGCAGTCTTGTCCAACATCACAATTCCAAAGCAACATCTTGGATGCAGCCTTATGTATGCTCTTGTTCCTCAAGGTATAAACTATGGGGTTGAGTAGAGGGGTAACCACAACATAGAAGACTGCAATTTGTTTATCATGATCAGGAGATGAAGCTGACTTTGGAATAATATACATACAGATAATTGTTCCATAAAACAAAATGACTACAATCAAATGGGAGCCACAGGTAGAGAAAGCCTTGCGCCATCCAGCATTTGACTTCATATGTGAGACAGAATAAATTATACACCCATAGGTGGTCAGAATAACTGATAGAGGAACCAGAATACCTAATGCTCCTATAGCTAAATTTATAAGCTTGCTTATTCGTGTATCATCACATGCAAGTTTCAGTACCATTGGCAACTCACATATGAAGTGGTTGATCTGGTTGGGACCACAATAAGTTTGACAAACAAGAGAGATAACACAAACAGCAGAGAGCACAGGAGCAATGATCCAGCAGGCTAAAGCAAACTGCAACTGGGTTTGCTTGTTCATAGCAATAGCATAAATTAGGGGATAACAGATGGCCAGGCAGCGGTCATAGGCCATGACACTCAAGAGAAAGGACTCCATGCTACCCATGGTTAATGCGACATACATCTGGATGGTGCAGAGTGCAAAAGAGATGACTCCATTTCCAGTCATAAGATGGGTAAACATGAGGGGCATGGTGCTGGTAACATAACATATTTCTATCCCTGCAAAATGTGAGAGAAAATAGTACATGGGAATGTGGAGCTGAGCATCAGTCTGGACCACGATGATGATCAGCAGATTCCCCAGAACTGTAAGCAAGTAGACAAGGAGAATGACTACAAAGAGGAGAAGCTGGATTTTTCTTTGGCTGGCCAGTCCTAGTAAAATGAACTCCTTAACAGAGGTGGCATTCTCAGCTTCCATCCTGGCCTCTTGACTGGAGAAAAAAAAGGGGGGAATGATGCTAAATAATTAGATTCCTTGGAAAGGGGATGAGCTATCATTTTTTTAAAAAAAACCAACTACTCTCAAAATAAACCAGCCAGAACATACTTTACCTTAAGGGAGTGTTATGAGATGGGCTCTAGAAATTTTATATTTTTTTCCAATGGTAGAAGAGAACTTTACCTTTCTTTATCTTTATCTTTCATCTCTCCTAAGTTGGTCCTCATCGCTCAAGAAAGAGCCAAGCTTCTTCTACAGTGCCCAGCAAGATGGAAGAGGATCCATTTGTTTTCTATGAAAGCCAGATATTGTGTACCTGTTGCGGAGTTCGTAGGTCTCTCAAGAAGAACATGTAAAAACTGTCACGGAAAGTGTCTTAAGTATCTTGCTTTTTTCTAATGCAAGATACTGAGCACTTAGAAAAATGTTGTGGTTTACCGTGAAAAAAACTGCATAAAATTTCACAGATGTCTTTGTAAAATTTGAGAAAGCTTCTTTTAGCAGGAATTCAGCAACCTGTCTCTTATGAAAATGGAAGTCGCTTAAATACCCAATAGAATGTTTTATATTAGCTGAAGATACATTAGAAGTAATTGCAAGTGATGGACATAATTGACATCCCTAAGGAAATTACATGGATTGTTTATATTATCATTGGGAATATGTGACTTTCTTGGTTATTTTTAAAAGCTTTACTTTTAAAATCTCTGCGGAAAGAAATAACTTGAAAGCAACAATTAATCAGTGGAATGACTTGCCTCCAGAAGTTGTGACTGCTCTAAAACTGGAAGTTTTTAAGAAGAGGTTGGACAACCATTTGTTTGAAATGGTAAAGAGTTTCCTGCCTGAGCAGAGGGTTGGACTATAAGACCTCCAAGGTCCCTTCCAACTCTGTTATTCTATTCTATTCTATTCTATTCCATTCCATTCCACTCCACTTCACTCCATTCCACTCCACTTTACTCTACTCTACTCTACTCAGATTGACAAGAGATCATAACATTCAAAATTCCCTAATAAATTTAACTGGCCAGGGAAAACAATTTAAAAACTCTTCTTTGATTTTTTTATTTTAATTTCAATTCTGGAATGATCTTTAAAGAATAATTATTATTTCATGCACTCACACTTAGTCCTTTTTCTAACCATGTCAACTTTGGAGAGATTAACCATCAGAAAACCATTGCAGGCCAGTACAGCTCTCATCATCCATCTTTTATTGCATGATACAAACATTCATGTTTTCTGGTCAAAGTCTTTTCTTTGCAGTATCTTTCTTAATGACCTATGGATGTCCTTATTTCTTAGAGTATAAATGATAGGGTTAAGCAGAGGGGTGACCAGAATGTAGAAAATTGCACTGTGCTTATCATGATCAGGAGCTGAGATAGATTTTGGAATTTTATATTTATATAAGGAAGGGCCATAAAAGAAGGTGACCACAAGCAAATGAGAACCACAAGTAGAGAGTGCTTTACGTGTCCAACTGTAGACTTCATGTGAAATATAGAATAAATAATAAACACATAGGAGGTCAGGATGACACAAAGGGGAAGCAGAAGGAGTAAGGCTCCTGCACCAGATACAATGTTCTCAACGAGTTGTGTATCACCACATGAAAGTTTTAATACCGCAGGAATTTCACACATGAAGTGGTTGACCTGATTGGGACCACAGTAGGGTTGGGAAACCAGGAAGGCATCACATATGGCACAGAGCAGAGGGGCAATTATCCAGCAGGCTAAAGCAAACTGCAACTGGCATCGCTGGTCCATGACAACAGTATATATTAGGGGAGAGCAGATGGCCAGAATGGTCATAAGCCATGACACCCAGTAGGAAAGATTCGGTGAGAGCCATGGACCCCGAAACAAATATCTGGGTAATGCAGAGTGGGAAGGAGATGGCTCCATTCCCAGCCATGAGGTGAGATAACATTATGGGCATGGTGCTGGTGACATAACATATCTCGATCACCACAAGATGAGAAAGAAAATAGTACATAGGAGTGTTGACTTGTATATCAGACTCCACCAATATGATGATCAGCAAGTTCCCCAAAACTGTAGTCAAGTAAAAGATGAGAATGACCACAAAGAGGAGAAGCTGGATTTTTCTATCACTGGTGAGTCCCAGCAAGATGAATTTCTTGACAGAGGTGAAGTTCTTGGCTTCTATCATTGCCACCTGTCTGAAGAGAAGGAAAAAGAATGAGAGACCATTACATCAACCACCTCATCTAAATATGTAAATACACAAAATACACAAAAACAGGCTTGGATCAACAAACCACCATTTTTTAAATCAAGGTACTGAAATTATTCTAGGAAATGTTAATATCATCCTTTGAAGATGAGCATGTTTTTATGCAGGAAAGATCAAAATTACTACAGGATAGAAAACATGTTCTGCCAATTTTGTTATATGATTATAGAAAGATTCCCTTTCAGGGAAGATTTTGGAAAAATATATTCAAAAGCAAACATCATAATACTCAAATTGCTTCAACAATGTTTATTTTGATTTGAATGAAGAAGTTAGACTATGCCTAAATTAAACTTACTAACACAGATTTTTCAAGGTGAACAAAGATTATTATTATTATTATTAATAATAATAGTAATAATAATAATAATAATAATAATAATAATAATAATAATAATAATAATAATAATAATAATAATAATGGCTAAGAGCAGGAAAATTGAAGAAAGAGACCGAGGGACTAATTCTGGCTGCACAAGACCAAGCCTTAAGGACAAATGCATACAAAGTCAAAATTGAGAAGACAGCAACAGACAGTAAGTGCCGCCTATGCAAGAAGCTGAAGAAACAGTGGACCACTTGGTAAGCTGTTGCAAGAAGATTGCACAAACTGATTACAAGCAGCGGCATGACAAAGTAGCAACAATGGTGCATTGGAAGATCTGCAAAAAAATATCATTTGCCTGTAAGCAAAAACTGGTGGGATCAAAAAATAGAGAAAGTCATAGAAAATGATAAAATTAAACTGCTCTGGGACTTCAGAATTCAAACAGACAAGCACCTGCAACATAACACCCCAGACTTAACAATTGTCGATAAGAAAGACAAAAAAGTCTGGTTAGTGGACGTGGCAGTGCCTGGAGATAGCAGAATAGAAGAGAAAGAGCTGGAGAAGATAACAAAATACAAAGACCTACAAATAGAAATAGAAAGACTGTGCAAAAGCAAGCAAGGGTAGTACCAATAGTAATAGGCTCCTTAGGTGCAATCCCAAAACAACTGGAGCACCACTTGAACACCATTGGCATTGACAAATTCGCTATTAGTCAATTGCAAAAGGCGGCCTTACTAGGAACTGCTTCCATCCTGCGACGATATCTGTAATACCATCAAACATCCAATCTGCCTATCCCAGGTCCTGGGTAAGGACTCGATAGGTAGACAAAATGCCAAATCCAGTCTGAACATCTGGCTGACTGTGCGATGATCGATAATAGTAATAATAATAATAATAATAATAATAATAATAATAATAATAATAATAATAATAATAATAATAATGTTGGAAGGGACCTTGGTGGTAATCTAGTCCAACCCTCTGCTCAGGCAGGAAATCCTATACCATTTCAGACAAAAAGCTGTTCAGTCTCTTCTTAAAAACATCCAGCATTGGAGCATTCACAGCTTCTGGAGGCAGGTTGTTCCACTGGTTAATTATTCTCTCAGGAAATTTCTCCTTAGTTCTAGGTTGCTTCTCTCCTTGATTAGTTTCCATCCGTTGCTTCTTGTCCTGCCCTTAGGAAAATAGCTTGTCTCCCTCCCTACTATACCTGTGCATTTGGTTTTTCTTGCCTAAATGTAGAACCTTATTTTTTCCTGATTGAATTTCTTTTTGTTAGATAGTGCCCAGTGTTCATGTCTGTCCAGATCCTCCTGTATCTTAAGCATATCTTCTGGAGTGTTGGCTATTCTTGCCAGCTTGGTGTTGTCTGCAAATTTGATGGTTCCCCATCTATCCCCTCATCCAAATCGTTGATGGTTGATGGTCTCCACACATTCCGCACTGAATTGACATTTCCTACTTTGGATTAAGAAGCTAAGCAAAGTTGGATATGGTTACTAGCTGAACTAGAGATGATCAAGGATTTTGGAACTGCTGTTTATCATTTTCTCCAATGGTAGAAGAGAACTTTATCTTTCTTCTTTCCTAAGATGGTCCTCATTGTATTATCAGCTTGTTTTATAGTGCCCAGCAAGATGGAAGATGATCCATCTGCTTTCTATGAAAGCCAGATATTGTGTATCTATTGGGGAGTCTCAGGGAACAACCTACACAAACTGTTACAGAAGGTGTCTTACTAGAAAATGAAATAATTCTTCTGGCAGGATCTCAGCAGCTCATAACAAGTAAGTGCAACCACAGAGGAATAATACATTCTCTGAAAATGTCTTGAAATTATTTAGCCCAAAATTTTCTGTCATTGCCTGTCAATTTTCATCAAGTGGTTTTCTTTATGGGCATGTGTACAAATACCTACTTTAAAAAGTTTATTTAGTGATTATTCAGTTACAATAAAGTGACTTATGACCATTTTTCACACTTATGACCATTGCAGCATCCCCATGGTCACATGATCAAAATTCAAATGCTTGGCAACTGGCATGTATTTATGACAGTTGCAGTGTCCTGGGGTCACATGATCACCTTTTGTGACCTTCTGACAAGAAAAGTCAATGGGGAAGCCAGATTCACTTAATAACCGTGTTACTCACTTAACAACTGCAGTGATTAACTTAAGAATAGTAGCAAAAAAGTCTGTAAAATGGTGCAAAATTCAAATGTTAACAAATGTCTTACTTAGTAACAGAAATTTTGGAGCCAATTGTGATCATACGTTGAGGACTACCTGTAGTGACAGGTGGGCAGAAACACCAGCACTTCCTGCAAAGGCATCTAACTAGTCTACTAGTGTTTTCATAAGGGCCAATTTTTTTTTGTTTAAAAATATCTAATATTCCATATAATTTTTGTTTAAAAATATATAATATTGCCTTGGAGAAAAACTATTTCAGCAAAAAAAATAAAAAAAGAAAAACAGTAAGACTGTGGGACGAATATGGCAAAACATAGAGGAAAATTAGACAAAGCAGTTAGAAAGAACTGGTTAAATAAATAAACAAATTCTATTTATCCTGCACAAATAACATAGAGCTAATGGTTTTCTCACTTTTTTTTTTCCTGGAATGGTTTCCAGATAAGCTGAAACAAGAACAATTATAGTGTCATAGATGTTATGAACCATTTCTTAGCATCTCTATCAATGACTCTTCAATGCTTGAAGCAAAAAAGATCAGGCTCAAATTAGCCTACAGCTGACACATTATGCAAAGACATAACTCTGTGGAGAAGGCTCTAATTCTGAGAAAAGTAGAAAGAAAGGGAAGAGGATGGCTAGTAGGATGATGAATGGTCTGTTATAGCAATCAAGAGGAAGCCACTGGAAGACTTGAAAGTCCAGGTTGGGAGCAGA